AGAAGAAAAACATTCAATAGATAAAGAGATGGAAAGAGACTCACACACATTTCTTCAAATTCTGATCAAAATAAGAAACCATCACAGTGCACGCCCCACACCCACCTTCACCACAGCCTAGCTTGGTGCCTGTCAAGCCTATCTCTGCATTGCCAAAGAGAAAGAGAAACTTCAGAGAAACCACCAAAACAAATTAAGAGAGAGAGAGAGAGAGCATAGAAATCCAGATCAATTATCTGAACGGAAATATGAACTGTAAATTCTTGAAGAATTGGGCAAAACATAGAGGCTGAGTTCTGAAGATAATACAAAAATCATACTCATCTAACAGCTACATAACGCTACAACTTTGCAGCAACTCGAAACTGGACTCACCAAAATTTTAACACCATACGGGTGCGATTGCATTACTAAAGGGAAAGTACAAACAAAATTGATTGCCACATAAAGCTACAACTCAACTCGAAACTGGACATACCAAAATTTCAACACCATACGGGTATGATTGCATTACTAAAGGGAAAGTACAAACACATTTGATTGCTAAGACAGCAAGCCACTAACTTATATACACTTCATTTCTTTTTCATTTACCTCAACAGCTAACCATGACAATAAATAAACTGGTACAGTAAAACTAACACATCCAAATCATCATCGATCCTACAAAAAGCGAATCAACAAAATTAACACTCAAGTCCTATTAATTTCACATTTTCTTCCCTTTCAATCCATCCACTTAAACTTGACATCCTCAGCTCCGCAGAGCTACTAACTCAATCAAAATTGCAAGAGAGAGAATACAGAAAATTATGCTCAAGATTAAATATTTTTTCTTTTTTGAGTTAAATAGCTACTACTTAATCTGATTATGAAGTTGAATTATTCATTTCTTTCTAAGTTTCTGACAAGAAAAGAAAAAAGAGAGAACCCCTCAAAATTAACTGTTCACATTCATCAAGAATTGCAAAAAATAAGTAAATTATAGAAACTATACTAAAAACTTAAAGCTCAAAAGACTAACTGACCTCTAAGATACTCAAGAAGAGTCAAATGAGCTAACCCATCAGGCAAAACTCGACGAACTCCATTAACGTATAAAATTGCTTCCTTTGACTCATCTCCTATCCTTTCCATTTCACTCTCATTCATCAATGAACCCATTTTTCCAAGATTTGATATATTTTCTTCAGCAGTGAAAATGAAAATTTGTTTAGCTTTGCTGATTGAAGGAGACAAAAGAGAGAAAAAGTATAGTTTATATTAAATTGGAAAAAGGATTTAAAAAGAGTCACATATTACACGTAAGATACATGGGGTTTTATAGGAATCGTAGTCGGTTGGTACACTAGATAGAAACGAGCTTAGCCAATTATGCTACGATACTACATTTAATTAACACCTAGGGGTCGTGATAGGATGATTATGATTTTTCTAATCTTAAGTCGAGCCCGTTTGGCTTGGTTGATTTAGAGTAGCTGATAAGCATTATGTGTTTAACAACACTTTTAAGTGCTGAAACTGATTTAAAAAATAAACACTTACGCGTTTGGATAAAAGTGCTGAAATTAATAATAAGCAGCTGAAGAACTGGGTATACGAAAAGTTTTGTTTTAAAAAGAAGTATTTTACGGATAAAATAGTACATATTTTGGTCAAACCTAAAATGCTTATAAGCTGAAATTTGATAAGTTGGGGGAGACCAACTTATGGCTTTTGACTTATTTTTGGCTTATAAGCACTTAACTTATAAGCACTTTTAATTTTACCAAACGCGTAGATAAGCCAAAAAGTGCTTATAAGCCAGTTTGACCAGCTTATAAGCTTAGCCAAACACCCTCTTAATCAAACGATCACTAGTTTGAGTCATGAGTATTAAACATCACGTAATGAGGGTAAAAGTTCTAACAGAAATTGAGCTAGAATTTTGAACTTATTCAGAAAGACAATTTATAAAAAAACACAAGGAAAAATTACATAATTTAGCTGCTTTCCAAAATAGCGAATATATATATATNTTTAAAAACCCAAAAAAATAACTAAGTACAGTCCAATAAATACATTTCATGGGTAGTTTCAAGTACCTTGGGTTAGTTATTCAGGGGACCGGGGAGATCGACGAGGATGTCACACACCGTATAGGGGTGGGGTGGATGAAGTGGAGGTTAGCGACGGGAGTCCTATGTGACAAGAAAGTGTCACCGTTACTGAAAGGTAATTTTATAGAGCAGTAGTTAGGCCTACCATGTTGTATGAGACCGAGTGTTGACCGGTTAAGAACTCACACATCCAGAAAATGAAAGTTGCAGAGATGAGGATGTTGAGATGGATGTGTGGGCATACAAGGAGGGATAAAATTAGGAATGAAGATATTCGAGAGAAGGTGCGTGTGGCCCCCATGGAGGACAAGATGCGGGAAGCAAGACTCAGATGGTTCGAGCACATTCAGAGGAGGAACACTGATGCACCGGTGAGGAGGTGTGAGCGACTGGCTGTGGTGGGTACGAGGAGAGGGAGAGGGAGACCTAAGAAGTATTGGGGAGAGGTGATCAGGCAGGACATGACGCGACTTAGGGTTATTGAGGACATGACCCTTAACAGGGAATTGTAGAGGTCGAGTATTAAGGTTGTAGGTTAGGGAGAAATTGTGAATATTTCTACAGCGCACTAGAGTGAGATTAGTCAGTTAGGAGTTAGTCTTAGGATGCTACTGATCAGCTACTGATGATGAGCTTTATATGTTGGTTATTAGTATACTTTACATCTTTCTCGTATTTCCTATATTTCTTATATTGCTGTTATTTTATGTTATTTTATTATGAGTCTATTGATAGTACTAATATAGCGTCTCTTGTTGCTTTCTTGAGCCGAGAGTCTCCTAGAAACAGTCTCTCTGCCCCTCGGGGTAGAGGTAAGGTCTGCGTACATATTACCCTTCTCAGACCCCACTTGTGAGATTATACTGGATTGTTGTTGTTGTTATCATCGTTCATGTACCAACTCTTAATATAAGAAATTATGAAAGAGGAGAAGAAAAGAAGATAATGGATTGAGAATGGATAAAGTTTTTTTATATTGTGTAGACAAAAAGGGGAATAATGGGCTTGTATTATTAAAAGTAGATTCAGATTTGATTCAAACTGTTCCTCCAAACTAATGGTGTAATCACGTGGGTTGCACGTGAATGGTAAACTAATTTATTTTTAAAAAAATCATTAAAAATTCTTTTTCTCGGAAGCAATTTTTTATATTGGCTGGGATTTAAATTTTGAGAATGAAAAAAAATCTTAGCAGAAACACTGTCTTAGTAGGTTCTACTCATATTTAAAATTATCCGAATTAGTAAATTTTGAAGAATAAATACATAAAGGAAAAATCTTTTGTGAATTTGTGTATATAATGATCAAATTAAACAACTTATTTAATCAAACTAACAATAGTGAAAGATGAAGAAGAAGAAATAAAGTGAAGAATGGAAAGATTCTATCTTTTTTGTCTGTTACGTAATGCAAAAAGTGTGATGTGGGAAAGGGAAAGGAAAAGGGAAAGATTCATAGAAAAACACAATCAATATGAAAGGTTTCAGAATAAATATGAAAGTAAATGCTTTTTGAGAATTGAGTAGAACTATTATTTATTAATATTAAGGGTATAGTTGGAAACAATTAACAAATTTAGTCTTGAATTTTTAAAGTAATAATTATTTTGGGATAATTTTTTTGCGTTAAAGCGACAATTAAAATGGGATGAAGAGAGTATTTAACAAGATATGTAAATGATGTAGCCTAGAGCAAAATGTTGGTCATTGAGCAGTATAATGCACTTAAGAGTAGAATGAATGAAATTTACAAGGCACAACCCCAACAATTTTAGGAGGTACTTAATTAGTTTTATTCTAATTAATGTAGATACTAAAAACATGAAAAAATACTAACCGATTACCAAGAGAAAGTCTCTCTTAATCTTAAGGTGAAGCGCGTTTAGCTAGCTGAAGGAAGGCTACGTTAGTTGTCCCTGCAATAAAAAATCGGATGTTTACGTCAAACTAAACAATAATTCATAAAAAGTAGGAAAACAAATTATTTGATCATATTATTTTAAATTAGGCAAGCATTTTGTTACTTCAAGTCCATAGATAGTATATTATATACTATATTCAAGAACCACTCCACTATCCAACCCTTTGAACAAGACATAAACAAAGGGTCAACAAATCCATTACCATCTAATATTATACATCTACTCCTTTGACTTTTTCATCATCAACCTTTCGACAAGTGTCCCTCCTATGTCCTTCTCATTACATATTCTGTGGCCACTAATATTAGATGAGAAATAGCTTGTCTATTGTTTGTTACATACACAAAAATCTTGCGTATATCTCGATTTAAACAAAAGAAGTAAATGTTACGAAAGACTGGGATGAGAAACAAAACGGAATGTATCGGGTTTTGAGCGCGTACAACCATCAAACCAGAGACCAAAGCAGGGCTCGACAAAACAGAAAGTATCATAGTAAAGTTAATCTCTATTATTTTTCAAAATAACTTTATTCATCGAGACGTAAATAAATTTTAAAAAAAAAATTGATATATTTTTCATCTCCATCGAGTGTTGAGTCCTAATCTCTATGGTTGGTATAGTGGTCAATAAATTAGTTAAAAATCATAGAAAATTATACTTAAATCCCACAAGACTCCACTGGATGGAATTGTTTGATATCTATGTTGATGACTTGGATAGAGAACAAGTTGATACAGACATGCCCGGTAGTCCGGTGCGCTTTCGGAAAAGGACCGGACAACAAGGATCTATTCTATGCAATCTTATAGAGGTTATTTTTATGATTTGAACCCATAACCTACTGGTCACGTGACAATAATTTTACCAATTATACCAAGGCTCCCCTTCTAGACATACCCATCATTAAAAAAAAAAAAAAAAAGCAAAGAGTAGGTGTGTACTGTTGCATCATTTAAGTTATTAAGCCTCTTCTACTTCTTACCAAAAAAGTCCACAATCCTTCATTATTTTTCTTGTAGCAAGAATATGTCAATACTAGGCGGCAGGGAAAACAGTAACAAAATGTCTCAACCATATCTCCAACTCCATGAATTCAAGAAACAAGCTTCTTTCTTCCTCAAGGAAAAGATCAAGACAGCTAGATTAGCCTTGACTGATGTTACACCAGCTCAACTGTAAGTTCTTTGCTTTGTACTATGATTTTTAAAATTTGACTTTCTGATCATGATTTGTATTTTTTGAGTAATTCGTGTATAGCTCAGTTATTTTAACGACACAAAAAATAATTTTGCGACTTTACTGTTATATTGGATAAAGTTCAGATACTGTTATAGTGGATAAAGTTCAGATACTAAACTGATTATGTTGTTTGAAGATTGGCAGAAGAAGCAACAAATGGAAATCCAGGTGCACCAGATACAAGAACACTGAAAATGATATCAAAGGCAGCTTTTGAAGTTGATGATTACTGGAGAATTGTTGGGATCCTTCACAAAAAGTCTGTGTTTGTTCCTTTTATTTATTTATTTATTTGTTTATATAAGGACAGTCCGGTGTACTAAGCTCCAGTTATGCGCGGGATCCAGAGAAGGGTCAGACTTCAACGATCTATTGTATATAGCCTTACTCCGCATTTTTGTAATTAATTGTTTTCACGCCTCGAAATCGTGACCTCCTACTCACGTGGCAACAACTTTACCAGTTACGCTAAGGCTCCCTATGACAACAACTTTAATTTTTTTCTTTTCTTTTTGCAGTTTCTTGAATAATATTTTCAGGCTTGATGATGTTTTGATTGCTTTTTTGATTTATGAGGTAGATTGTCAAGTTTTGACAGAAAGAATTGGAGGGTGTCATATAAGGCTGTGATTGTGTTGGAACATTTGTTGACTCATGGACCTGAAAGTGTTGCTGAGGAATTCCAAACTGACAAAGATGTTATCAAGGAAATGGGACACTTTCAACTCATTGATGAGAAAGGGTAATTTATTTATTCTTTTGGAAAAGGTCCAAATTTATTCGTTTACTATACAAAATATCTTAATTTTACCTTCCGTTATACTTTAGGGTTGTTCATACCTCTGTCGTTATCAAATCGTTTCGTATTATACTTTAGGGTTGTTCATACCACTGTCATTATCAAATCGTTTCGTATTTATCCTTGACCTCATGTAGCTCCAACGTAGACTGTGTGATTTCCATGTGTCAAAATACTTGAAAAAAAAGGTCTAGATTTACCCCTCTAGCTACTTTTGACTATGCTTTAAAATTTTCCTCCGTTACATGATTAGGATCCACTTTGGAGTTCCATTAGGATCAAGGTCAAGTACGAGATAATTTGCTAACAGCAAGGGTATGAATGCTTCCTAAACATAATACGCGATAAAATTAAGATACTTCGTACAATAAAGGGGGTGCTTTTTACCATTTTACCCATTCTTTTTGTGGTTCTTTCTTTTTGGCGTAACTGCTAAAGTTGTTGTCATGTGACCAAGAGGTCATGGGTTCGAGCCGTGGAAACAGCCTCTTGCAGAAATGTAGGGTAAGGCTGCGTACGATAAACCCTTGTGGTCCGGCCCTTTTTCGGACCCCGCGCATAGCGGAAGCTTAGTACACCGGGCTGCTCTTCTTCTTCTTTTTTTTTTAAATAAAATCTATATTTGGTAATACAAGTTAAGGTATTTTGAATGATTCTGCAGATTCAACTGGGGGCTAAATGTTAGAAACAAATCAGAGAGGATATTGAAGCTGCTAGAAAATGGACAACTTCTTAGAGATGAGAGAAACAAAGCCAGGAAAATATCAAGAGGGATTGAAGGTTTTGGGAGCTTCAACATTAGGACTAATTCACCTGAAGGAATTTTGGAGGAATCAGCACTAAAACCTTATGGAAGGTCTAATTCTCAGTTTAATGATCATGGAAATGAAGAAGATGAAAATTCAAATTTCAATACTCAAGATTTGATCAACACAAAAATGGAGAAAGTGGAGGATGCTGCAGTTTCTTGGAATCTTGACACTGGTGATAAGTACTTAGTTTCTGGGATTTCTAGTATTAGTTTTAAAGAAAACATGGCTCCAAGTGAAGACATGCATAAGTGGAACTTCAAAGGGGAAGCAAAATCACTTTTGGATGAACAAAAAACAGATCCAAGAATAGGTTTTTCCTCAGAAGAGGATCACCCTTTTACTGAAACCGACCGACTAACATCAGCCTCCCTACTCTCTTCTGGAGATCAAGTCCTCCAAGCATGTCAATAGGGACATCGCCTTTTAATCGCTCTAGTGCATGTGCTAAATAGTTGTTTTACGCGTTCATCTATCTATGAGGAGCAGTCGTGTGACTGCTATATAGAGCTAAGAACACGCCGTTGGCTGTTCCCTCATACCTCTACTACTAGATGTTTTGAGCTTTATTTTGTAACCTACAGGGTACAGCAATGCAGAAATGCAACTGCACTGCTATTTCACGTTCATGAAATAATTGCAACTTTCTTGAAAGAGCTAATACCAAGTTTGTGTTCTTGTTCCTTGTTAGAGGTGATAAAAACAACTTTAAGGGGAAGACGAATTAATGAGTTGGCTTACTAGTGATGATCATGATGTTTCATAGTATATATATNTTGACTAGGAGGTCACTGGTTCAAGTCGTGGAAACAACCTCTTGCAGAAATACAGGGTAAGACAACGTACAATAGACCCATGTGGTCCCGCCCTCCCCTGGACCCCGCGCAAAGCGGGAGCTTAATGCACCAAACTTTCCTTCTTCTTTTGATAATTTTACACCCTATAGAAAACCTTAGTACCCTATTTATCTTAAATAAATACCATTTTAAAATATTACATCCTATAAATATCTTTTATCCTTTATAGCAAAATATCTAATTATAGTTACATCCTACATTTAAGGTACCATATATGCTAAATAATATTTTTCTCTCTCCTTTTTAGTATTTTCTCTCACATAATCACTATATAACTCCTAAACACGTTCTCTCTCTCTTTTACATTGTGAAATATGCAATGTATTCAACTGTATTTTTGTTTGCAACCGTTCAATTTTCCAGTAAGTTTTCAAATGTATTCATATGTATTCAGCTTACTTATTTTTTATGTCATGTGTGTGGTATCTAGTTTTTAATATGTATTTAGCCTTGTTACTGTATTTAGTCTTCTGTAAGTGTTTGTAGTTGTATTGATATGTATTCAAAACTGATTTGCTATGAAATATGCAATTCTGTAAGTGTTTGCTCTGTTTTTTGCTTCTTTTCACGAAAAAAAGGGAGAAGATTATTCTGCTTTCTTTGAGCAGATTAATGTGTACTCGTATTATTTCTTTGAGTTAAATTAGGAGACTATCATGTGAATTTATTTCCTTCCGTTTTTAACAAGTTTAACTTCCCAGAATTTGCGCAAAAATGTTACTGTATTGTATTTGTATTCAGCTTGAATACAGATACCCATTAGCTGGAGTTCCCGTTTTTACGCCTATTTTTTTGGTTGTATTAATAAATACAACTGCTTAAATACATGAAATACATTGTATAAAAACATAAAAGGTATCTATAACAAGTAATATAGCAAAGGGTATCTATAAATGACTAATTAGGGCTAAAAGATGGTGCTTTATGAAAAATTCTCTAATAAATTCACATGATAGTCCAGCTAATCTCTTCTGAAATATGAAGCCCACTGGGCACCGGCCTCACTAATCCGGACTTGTGCTGAATTAGCACACTAAAGAGAACTCAAGCCCTATACTTCTGTTTAAGGGTAGAGATATTCCAACCATGGCATGAGAATATAAGGGTCGTCTTCGTCTTATATTTACATTACGTCCTTTAATCATGCCCAACTGGGCTTTTCTCTCTTGGAAATAACCTTCAATCGCAAAGTCAATAATTTAACTACTTCAGATGAGAGTTATATTTTCCCAATAGTTCAGCAACATTTAGCATCTCAGGAAAATAGACAATGAAACAACTTTAAGCTATAGAGTGCAAAATAAGTCTATTTTTATGATAACTACTACAGTGCATCCGAGACAGTTTCAATGTTCTCTAGACTGTAATCAACACAATGTCTTTCCATTTTGCGGTATTAGAGATCTACGATAATGCGGTCACTTACCTTATATTTCGCAAGGCTAGTTCTATATTTCTATGTTACCTTTGTATCCTAGGCTCCTAGAATACATACATTTGGATTTACAATAGTCTATGTTATTACTAAGTGAGGAATTCTAAGTTGCATAGCCAATCCTGGATAGCAAGTCGCAAGGAATGATTAGGAGTTAGCTCCAAATGGCTTAGTTTCAAATTGGTCATTGGAGAAGTATCATGACCACTTTCCAGCCATCCTTGAATGGCCTCTCCTTCATATGTGAACCCGTCTGCAGCGATCTGAGGGTCAAGCATTATGTCCTGAAAGAAAATTCACAACGACCTGAGCATTTTGCAGCAAACATGAAACCCAAAGAAATTGTTTTTACCAACAAATCAGAGCATGAATATCTAAAAAAAGGTACAGCATAGAAGATGGCAGGCAATAATAGCAATAAACATAGCACACTAGCTTGATCATCTTCAATTTAACTAGTGACTAAATTTGGGCATACATCGACAGGCCTAAGAAGTCATGCAAGTGGAACAGCTCAATGCATTAACCTCACAGCCTACAAGTAAGTTTTTAATTCCGTCTTTTATTGGAAGGGGTGGCGTTGTAGGGTGGAGAAACGATAGGGCTGGATGTTGAACCTTGGACCTCTAAGATGCAGAATGGGAGCATTACCAGTTTGCTCCCATTCAATTCTTTTCTTATTAATACATATACGATTATATCCAAATATAGAAAACTAAGTTAACTCATCATTATGTCTTGTTATCCTGCTTCCCTAGGACCAAAATCTTTTCATATGATTGAATAGTACGGAAAGCATAACTAACCTGGCGAATTGGACATACAAAAAAAGATGGCACTGATCGCTCTTCCAGTACATGCAAGTTCTCTAGCTCCATTACAAGAGTCGGTGTCAGCTCAGGCCTATCCCTACTGTTAACTTCACAGCATTGCAAAGCCAGTTCTGCTAATCTCCTTGACACATATGTAGACCATTCTCCAGCAGATGAATCCAAAAGAGACTCTAATTCTGCGCATGAGACTGCCCTGCGTACTTCACTCAGTAATCCTGCTAGAGTTCTTCCAGTGAGTATTTGAAGGATAATTAGTCCAAATGAGTAAATGTCCGACTTAGTTGTCAGCGCTCCAGTTATATGAAATTCAGGATCAGTGTATGAAAAGAGACCCTTTGGTTCACTCTGACGACCAAAACTTGGGCAGCGCAGGGTTTGCTGAGGAATCAGGCTAGATATCCCGGTATCACATATTTTGCAGCTGTCTGTCGAATCAAGGAGCATATTCTCAGGCCTCAGATCCCCATGTGCAATCTGTTCAGGGTAGGAAGAGTGCAAAAACAGAAGAGCACTTGCAATTTCAGAAATAATTCGTGCTCGCATCTTCCAATTCATGGGACTAATGTTTTTGCAAAATAGGCGGTCTTGGAGGCTCCGACCAGGTATATATTCATAAACAAGGCACCAGGCTTCCGGACATACACCAAGTAAAGTAACCAGTTGAGGATGCCGTAACTTAGCTAGAATTTCCACCTGCATATGGAAAAGATAATTATATGAGCAAGCACATAAAAATCATAGAATTTGTTGGCAGAGAAAATTATGAGGTTCCATTTTAGCTTATGAATTATGATGAATGACAAACTAGGTTCAAGGAAATGTCCACGCACTTCAGTTGGATGATATTAAGGAAAATCACATGCTAGACATTATGAGACCAATTGATTTATATAGCTGAAAGGGAACTCTGAAATAAAGAAACTTAGAGTGGATTTCCAGATCCTATCTAAATGCAGTTTGTGAATATAAAGGAGATTTTTGACCTGTTCAAAAAACTGTGACTGCTGTTGCATATTATGTGGATGCAATTGCTTAATAACAACTGTTTTATCTGCCAGTTCTCCTTTGAACACATCAGCATATCCTCCTTGACCAATCCTGAAGCTCTCAGAAAAGTTGCATGTTGCTGTCTGCAATTCGGACAGTGAAAATTCCAACAACGCAGGTGATGCAGACCACTCGCCACTTGCACTTAGTACTCCATCTTTTCCGCGATTCTTCCACCGATTAATCCAGTTCATGGCTTCAGTATTTTGCTGCAGAAGTTTGCGCTTCTCCTGCCGGAGAGTTGCTATGGAGGAATGAATTAACGTCAATTCTCCAGCAATCTCTTCACACCGCTGATCGGCCTCCTGTGTACGACTATCTAGGAGGGCTATATTTCTCATGGCCTTGCGCAGCTCACTAGTTTTCTCCTCTCTCTCCTTCAAGAGCTTTTCTTTTTCCAGCAATATATTTTCCAAAGCAACCTCAGCTTCCTTCCTCAGTTTAACTTCATGCGCATGAGCAGATTCAAATGCTTTTACCTATAACAAAGCAAACATTCTGACATTAGCAGCCTAAGAAGTGCTTTCAGTCCATTATAGATGTTACAAGAAGGAGAAATGACATTATTGTCCACATACAATTCCTCTTACACTGGTACTTTCTACTCTACATAGAATTACATACTGGCCCTAAGAATGACTACTCTTATAATACAGATGTACATGCAGTAGCAAATTACTTGGTTGCAAACGTAGAGTATAGTAGTTCTATAAGTGATGCAGCAATGCACAGAATGCAACATCAAAAAATTTAAGCTTGAGTAAGCCCATAGTGGGTCTATGGGTAAAGTAGACATGATCACTTTGGTCCACAAGTGAATGTGAAGCCAGAATATAAGAAAAGCTAATAACTGTAATTTAGCTTCATAGCCCTCCATAGATAGCATGTTTGTGATATCTAGCAGCAACCAAATTTTATCATGCATCAATATAGTTCTTCCTCAAAAGATTAAGTAATGGAATGATCTTTAGAGCAATACGAATAAGGGCTCCTCTACTGGAATACAAAACTAGCGGTTACCTTTCTCATGGCTTCCACAGCTTCAGCTTCCAGTTTTTTGCGCTTAAGCATCTCTGCAATAGCTTCATTCCTTGATGATTCAAATTCTATGCAGACTTCTTCAAGCTGTTTGTATAAACTTTCCAACTCGACATCAGGGGACTCCATTTGTTCAGCAGAAGAAGCACAACTGCTACCAGTGCTAGGGCTTGTTGAAATAGATAAACTAGGGAAAATGATTGGATTGCTTCTGCTAGTAGAAGAAAAGTTCTTGGGCCATAAACCAGTGTCTGATGAAATTCCCTCCTCAAATATTAAACTTTTGATTCCAGATGACAGTAGGTCCCTAGACGAGCTTGACCGAGCACGTTCTGGCGAGAGGATAACCTCTCTCTTGCAAGACGTTAGAGACCGAGATCTTAAACTGCATGCATCAGCTACCACTGCTCGAGTATTAGCAGAAATAGGTCCAATGAAGCTTGAGCAATCAGGAGGCTGTCTAGTCCAGACTAGTTTCCCTTTGTAGACAAAGAATATTTCACAGAATGAAGGGAAATATGCGGCAGCAAAACTTGCTTTCTGGGAGCTTTTCTTGACCTTCACACAACTGTATATGAAGGGTAAGCTCGGGTACAATAGACAAGATCCATATGATGAAATTTCAGAACGATGCAAACTGCAGAAACTGATATACATTCTATTCCAGTAAATACAGGTGAAGCAAAAAGAAAAGGTGAAAGAAAAGATCCACAGACGATATCAACTAGATGGGATAAGGCTCTTTCATGTTAATCCTTACATTAAGTTCAGTCTTTAGCAAGAATTTTTTCATGTTTGTTTAAAGACTTGTATGTTAGTTTAAAAAAGAAGACAGATTGAGAGAACCTTAGCTTAAAACAATTGATTTGTCCTAAAAGACAGATTGTTATGTGCTGGAATGAACTTGAAGTGGTCCCAAATAGAGCAGATGGAAATAGAGGATTCATATAACCGACCCTACTAGTTCAGGGTTGAAGCGTTGTTATCGTCGTCATTGTTATCGTGAAATTCCCCAGTTCTACAAGCAAAGACAACCTCTCCAGATTTCTAGACCTCTTAATTTGACCTCTATTCCCATTTCTCCAACAGTGAAAAAAATGACCAGCCTAAGTGTTTTCTGTGAGAAATCTTAGTACGTGATCTGTTCTCATTGGACGAAGTCACCTAGTACAATACATATACGGGTAGGAGATAGAGGTACCCAATGGATTAGTTGGACGCACGCAACCAGGCCCAGACACTGCCATTATTTTTATAAATAAAAAAAAGATTTTATTTTCTTTCGCAAATTGGGTCACTCAGGAAAAATGATATCAAGTTTACCAAAAAAAATTACAACCTTTCATTCAGATCCTAGGCACACAAATACAACCACGTGAATTGAGATATTTTAGTGTCCAGAAGTTCTTTTCAAAAAGATAAAACTCCTCAAAATTTGTCACAAATTGAATCATGTAATATAATCCAGGATTCACAAGTGCAATCATAATCTACAGCAGTTCAAACAGTTCACTCGCACTTGAAAGTAAATTAAATGAAGAAAAGCTGAAGACCTACTCTGGTATAGCCCCAATTATAAGCTTTCGGATGTTATGTTTGTTGACAAAATCAAGAATTCCTTTAAGGACAAAATGTGCTTCAACTATAGCAACACTTGCTTTAACCTGAAAAGATTATTGATTTCTTCGGTAAGTGACTGCACAGGTAGCATGATATAGGTAAATACTCAAATCATTGGCATAACATATGCATCATTAATTTTGAAAAGAAAAGCGGGATTTTACAGTACATAGATCATGATATTGTGAAAACACTAGTGTCACAGAGGTAAAAAATATCTAAACATGTTCCTGAATGTAGTATAGCAGCAATAGAATGTCAAATCTAGGGACATACCATCACAACAGAGACAAACAAAGTTATAAGACAAACATTGGATAAAGTGTAGCAAGGATGAAAGTATTAGAAAAATAATTTAATATAAGGGAATTCTATTCTTTGTTTTGGATGTAACATAGGACATTAAAAAGTAGAAAAGGGAGAAAAGAAAAGAAAAGAATATGTTTTGGGGTTTAACCAATTCAAGCTTTCAAGCAGTGACATGGAATGAATCAATGTTTTTGTCGAGTTGTCTCTTTTCCACGCATTGATAGCTTAAATAATGTGTTATTACAAAAATGAGAAAGAGGGGAGGGGAAGAATAAAAGGAGTTAACTTTTAAAGAGATAGGAGGGTGGAGAGACAGCAACCGGAGAATACTTAGAGAAGAGGGGAGCGATCTGGAGCGCCCAAGGGTGTGACCTAGTGATTGATGAAGTGATGGAGAATCATGAGGTCTCAAATTCAAATCCCAGCGAAGACAAAAAAAATTAGGTGATTTCTTCCTATCTGTCTAAGGGCATAGTTACCCTAGTATCTGTGCTGGTGGGAGGTAGCATGTACCGGGTGGACTAGTCAAGGCACACACAAGCTAGCCTGGACACCACCCTCACCAAAAAAAAAAAAAGAGCGGTCTGGAGAGAGAAACATTCAGACATTGCTTGAGATGGAGAGTCGAGAGCCAGGAGCCCAACAATTTTCAACTTTTCTCATATCCTCACCTCTTTTCTTCGAATAAGAATATCTTGACAATCGCATCACTTTTTACTTCCTCAGGATTTTCTTTGACATCCAAAAAAAGAAAATAAATTCATTAGAATTCCTTTTCTTTTCGTTCAGCACATCCTCTGATCCAGACATGGAATAATTCCAATCATCAGAAGAAAATTTATTTCTATTTTTTTTTCCTGATCAGTAGAAAAAACTATTTCTATCTTAATTTCTCTAAATTGTTCGATATTTTTCAACCATAAGTCTGTTCATTTTCATATCCACATTCAGTGTTTTTTCATTGAAAATTCGACATGTGTTCTTCAGAAGGAAAAAAAGTAAAAGAGGAGAGAAAAGCCAAACATCATTCATGAATGAACCTTTCTCTTCTGATAGCATTCCCGTTAGTCCATCAATACTTCATCATGATAGAAAATTCATATCAGGATACAGATGCGACACAGTTGTGATCGATGCCTCGACAGAATAAGGTGAAAATTTACAATGGTGCTTAAGTTTCTACAATTACTAAAGGGATAGTAAAAGTTAGGATGGAGAAGGAATTTTGGTGAAGAGGGGCAGGCAAATACATTGAACTAATTTCATTTTTGTTAAGGTTGATATTCAGTAAGATAGAATGGCGGATATTCCAAAGTTCAAGAGAGAGAGAGAGAGAGAGAGAGAGAGGGAGAGAAAGAGGAGGAGGAGGTAGGGGGGACTGGACAATAAGAGAAACTGTACATGGAAGGACTCAAAGATGGTATTCATATATTGGTGCCATAAGAGCCAGGATTTTCGGCAGAAAGCACGGAAACGTATCCTCTCGCGACTGCTGTTTTAACGTTTTGCTCATCCTCAACATTAATCGGAAAATTTGAGTTAATGCTTGTGGAAAAGATTGTAACGACGCATTAAGACAACAAGTTAAAGTCAAGATATTTGATTGTGGTCCCAATTTGTGCAACCGACCATTCTATTAAGTAAAATTTCTCAACAAAAAGCCCACAAATACACAATCCAAACCTGAACCTGAGCCCTGAAATAATCCCAGCACAAGGTTTTGGAACAAAAATGAGTTGTTGACATCTGGCTCATAAGTCATTTTGAAACAAAATGCACAAAATCCTCTAGCAGCTTTTAATGATATAGGATAAGAATTCTCACCATTTAAGATATGAAGTTTTTAAGTGACCTTGATGATCATTCATACAACATAAGAACCATAAAAGGAAATGGTCCAATCTAGTTTATCGTACTCAGACGTGTTTAGAGATGTCGCATTCAGACACTTGCCCCTGTAACACACTAACAATTTATGCAAATCATACCAAAATAAGTATGTCCACTAAGATAACATTACTGAATTAAATTCAGTAGAAAATGTTGCAGATGCCCTTAATTTGTGTTCATCAACGACAATTGCGAGTAATAAAATGACCTTTTGTGAAAATAGACCACACTTCCAAAACAAATTAGTTAAGTAAAGTAACAATGCACGACCTAGACAGAACAATTATTCTAAACATTGAGAAGGAAACAGTGGAAGAGTGATACATAACGTATAAATGACATTTCAAACATCATAATAACAGTCCAGAGCACTCCACACCAATCAGACACACGATACCTTCGATTTGCAGCACACGTTCAAATAACGAGATAGAAGTTTCCTAGCCTCTTCTCTCTCCGCATCTCGAAATGCAGATACCACTTCCGCATTAGCTTGAGTAGCCGGCAATCTTCCTACTGCATAAAAATTACAAGTATGGACAATTATACATGAGTGTATGTTGAAAGAATCATTAATTCCTCCAGAATACTCTACTCTGAATTAAAATGTGATTAGTATCGCAGAAAATGTTTTCAAACGTGTCATTTGGCGCGAATGAAAATGTTTATCATACTCCAAGAAATTATATTCTAGAACATTTTCTACATTTAGGTTTACCAAAATAGATGACATGTGGTAATTGTACAAGGAAAAATATTTGGTACAAGGATACATTTTTAGTGATATTTATGAGTATTAAAAACAGTGACTAATGTTGACTGAAGCAAATGATATGGACTTAAAATTAGGATCGTTATAAAGGAAACTTTTGCTCATTCCTTTCCGGTAGAAAATATTTTTCCTGGACAAAACTTTTTCGTAATTCAAGGCAATCAAACATTTGAAGGGGAGCCTTGGAGCAACGGTAAAGTTGACCTATAAGCTACGGGTTAGAGCCGTGAAAGCAGCTACTAATGCTTGCATTAGGATAAGCTGTCAACATCATACCCCTTGGGTGCTACCCTTCCCCGGACCTTGCATAAATGCCACCGGGCTGCCCTTTAAGGTAATCAAACATTCCTTACAGACCAAAACTTTATCAAATATTGAACAACATTTGAGTAAAAGAATATGAATTTATAATCATGAAACATTCTTAAAGACCAAAACTTTATCAATTTACTGATTAATATTTTTGTAAAAGAACATGATTTACATGATATATCATCAACTTGTATACCCTAGAAAACACTAGAAATGATCCAAAAAAAACAATTTTTTAAGCTATAACATTTTCCATAGAAAGTATAAACATTTTTTCTTTGCAACAAATGCACCCTAAAAGATCAAAAAATTATCAATTTATATAACAACATTTTAGCAAAAGATGATAAATTTATATATAAACAGAGACTTACATAAAGTGGGTATATAAGGAGAAGGTTCAAGAACATAAAAAATACAAATTTCTGAGTTCCCAAATGTTTTACAAGCCCATTGAACCAAAGCAACATTTTTATTCACAGACTTTCCAACTGCTATATACACTTTAGGCTCATTTTGTTCTTCTACGATTTCTCTCGTTTGAGGAGTGATGATTTGGCTAGTTCTGTAAAACCCACGTCGATAAGTGGCCATAGAAGAAAACCCAGAAAGGGAATTTGAAGAAGGAGTAAGAGGAGTAGGAGAAGGGGTTAACAACTCCATTGTTATTGAATATCAAGAACGAACTGGCTGGGACAAAGTTGAGTTACTTTCTTTTGTTCGTTTTTAACGTTTTTTTGTGTAATTTGAGGACTTTTTAGTCTTTTTAGGCTCGTGTCTGCATCACACGACTTAAATGAAAATATCCTTAAATAATGAGAAAATCTAGAAAAGGTTTTCAACTTTTAAAAAGCCAAAGCTAATGATGATTTCTTAATCTTAACTAATAAATCAAGCAAAAACAATATGTTCTTAGAAGATTTTCTTAATCTTAATTTATAAATCCATAAAAAATAATATGTTCTTAGATCGGTTACAACTTAATGGGTTTAAACTTCACTTTACGTAACAGTGAACGCTCGTAAAATAGAAAACAAATAGTATAATGCATGCAAGTTATTCTGAACTCTGCCGTAATAACATAATAAAATAAAATAGATAACAAGTAGCAAGTAACAGATTTTAAGTCGTAATCTTTCAACTTTTTAGATAACGCTCTTAATTTCTATTAGGTAAGTTAATTTGAAGTTGACAGTTAAAACTTGATTAATATAATAGTCACTAGAAAATAAATGTACTTTATTATTATGATTTTACGAATTTAAACATCTCAAAATGGAAGAATGAGCTCTTTTCCCGCCTCGCGAATCCATGAGGAAAGCGGTTTAGAGGTCCTATTTATCGCAAGTCCACTCACCTTTAAAATTATTGAAGAAAAATATCGTTAAAATTATTAGATATAATAATGTCTAGATTAAAGGATATATTCAAATATTAAATCGTAATCTTATAAAAAGAAAATTAATCCAACCTAGGTAACAGAGATTTCTCTATAATAATTTTTTTTTAAAAAGTGGCTTAACAATTAGTTCAAACATACAGCTTTTCTTCAAATATTTTTGCCTTAAAAAGAAATTAATCAGAAAACCGTAACAAATTGAAGATGATATTAGAGCAAAGGGAGAAAAAAGAATAGGAAAGTTTGAGTGTCGCAGTTTAGTACTTTATAATAATGCTTCACTTTTTATTAAATTAAAAAATATAATAAAGTTCCACCTAATAAAGAATGAATGAGCTAACACTAACTACTCCACTAAGAGCCAAATCTATAACTAGTATTTCGTAGTTTAGCATTTAAAGCGAGAATAAAACAATGTAGCTTCTTAATTAGCTGCTTATTCAACTAAACTTAATATTTTAATATTGAACATATATAAGTGTATATGCGCAGGGGCGTACGCAAGATTTTCACAAACGGTCTCAATATTTATAAAAGAACGGAGAATAAAAAATATTAATTGTCACACTACATGATAAGAAATAACCTTAATCAATTTGTTTTATTGATTTAAAAGAGATTACGAGTTCAATTATGCCAAACTACAACTTTTAATAATAGATACTCTCTCAAATATTTGACAAAAATATGATCTAGTTGTGGTTTGAACCTCTGACCTCCTAGCGAAACAAATAATTTAATCAGCAAGTCAAATTACAATATGCATCAAGTGGTGTCATTTTCTTTACCTTATTGTATTCGTATAGTATTACTACATATATTTTATAAAAAAATCCGATAAAATGATATCACGTGGCAACACTTGGTTCTACGTACATTCGTCCCTGCATATGTGAAAATAACTAAAAAAATTAACAAATATAATATTTTGAAACCATAATATTAAAAGTACAATAAATTTAGTATTAAATAGTATTTTAAAGGTTGAATTTATCATGTTTAAATCTTGAATCCGTCTTTGCTAACTACTTTTAAATTTATTTGAACTAATAATTTGTTGCTAATTTAATTTGTACTTAATTAATTGAGATTAGGTATGCTTTGTTGACTTTAGGAAGTTATCTTTTGTTTTCGACCTCTTCTCCTCCTCCAAGAGCTTCTGAGGTTTTTAATAAAAAAGTCCGAAATGTAACAGTATTAATACAGTAATACTAAACTACTAATGACGAAGAGTTTTCCTTTTCGTACCTACTTTGACCTGTGATGATTCATGTCATTCTTTTATTTTTTGGCAAGAGGAGAAACTCGCGACCGCTACAATTTCTGCTACAGCCTCTATCCTTCAGGTGAGCACAATGTGGTGAGCATTTTGTGTGCACTGAGTAAACCTTTCTCTGTGTAATAGCTTGCAAACCACATACGGAATGTAAGCCGCTCAACCCAAAAGGCATTGAGGCGGGATTCGATCCTAGGTTGATTCATGTCATATTGATATTCTACTTTTACATATTATCCACTAGTCTAACTAATTTCAATTATAGACAGATTTGCGATTGGCAAGTTAATTATTTGACCATTCAGCCAAAAATAATAACATTCGCTATAAATATACAAAAAAAAATGGCTACTATTTTTTAGGACGGTTATACTGTATAGTTTTCCTTCACAATTTAAGTTAATTTGCTCGTGCTATTTTCTTGATGATAAGTCTAAATTTGTTTAGAATAAATATATGCTATTATTGTTTTTTTAAAACTAACTATTTCGAGTTAAATACGGTGAATATGTTTGCACCTGTTGCACAAAGCTAAAAAACAAAAGTCAATTTTCAACAGTGTGCTATACATCAATCCAATCAAAATTAATTATCTATGAAAAAAATTAATGAACTTTTGTGGACCATGATCCTCGGAAGCACCAAATTTTAATATTTCTATCATATCATATAACGAAAAGTGGATAATGCAGCCAAAAGAGAATTGGTTATGAAAAATTATTAATTTTTTGATTTGTCAAAAAGCAGTGATGAAAGCAACAAATCTTGGTTAATCAAGACCAATGAAGTCTTTGTGGGGTGGTGAGGGGGGTGGGGTGCGGGGGAGGTTTATATAGAAAATGCCAGATTTTTTTCAAAAAGATAAGTATATGTTTTTTTTTCTTGGCTATACATTTGAATGCGATGGTTGCATTGGTAAGAAAAATATATTTCAGTATTTGAATTTGGTTTTAATTTTTTTTCGAAAACAACCTCTTTGTCCTTTCAGGGGTAGGGATAAGGCTGTGACAGAGATGACAAAATGATTAAAAGAAAAAAGTTAACCACCCATATTATTCATTAAAATGGGTTGGCTAATGAACTTTTTTAAAATGGCTCAAAAGTTTAAATGTAAAATTAAACCAACTTTTACATTTGTAAAGCCTCAAATTGGGAGTTCCTCAAGTTAGGGAGACCGAGAATTCTCCCAAATGTGATCATATGCAAGGAATCATGGATAATATGATTACCTTTATTATCCGTCGGTTAACCCGTCTTTATCCATATTAAATATGGGTCGGGTCGGATAATTTATCTGTGTTTTTCATTACATGTCTTCGACCGGAACCATATTCGACCCTACCTGCCCGCTTGCCAATTGCCACTCCTAGGCTGCGTACATCTTACACTCCCTAGACCCTATTTGTAGGAAAATGCTGGATTTGTTGTTGTTGAATTTGGTTTAATTTTTGAAAAGTTTGGTTCTTGAAAGACTTTTGAGTTTTGAAAGATTATGTTGGAAAAGAGTTCCAGTGTGCGTTTAAATTAGCTATTGAGAAAATATTTTGGGAAAACATTTATGTGCTATTTTCGAAAACTTTCTTTTGAATTGTTTCTATTTTTATTTTATTCGTAACATCACCAAAGAACTATGTTTGTTTCCAATCTTCATTCCAAAGAAAGGGAAACGTCTTTATTGAAAGATCGTAGCCTGTTATCTAATATCTACAGTCGATACTTTAGTTCTTAATATGGATACTCTTTTTCTTTTAATTAATTAATTCATTATTATATGTATAACGCCAATTATTTTTGAAGAGCTTGCAGCACTAGAGTGCTACATTTTTCATAGCAGATGTCATATTAAAACGGGTCTCGCTAAATGGCCAATGAAGTAGGTTGAAAATTATGAGATCTTAAGTTTAAATCTCAGCACATACAAAACACATTAAGTGATCTTTTCCCATCCATCAAGTCTTGATGGATCCGAGTTACAAGATACTGTGGAATTAGTCAAGATGTGCGTAAGCTGACTCGAACACCATGATTATAAAAAATAGTTACTTCTCTATGTAATATGTTATGTACTTACGTACGGACATAATGGAAAACAATTGGAGTTAGCATTGAAGGACAAAAGTTCACAATAAAATAAAATCTACATTGAAATATCTGTTTTTTACTGTCAATTCTGGAAAATTTGTTTGCCATTGTTACAGCGATCGATAAGCAACATAATAAAAATATTACACTTCTAAAAATTAGAAGCATTTTCTGTGCACAATGGATGGACCAGATTCATCATATTCTGCCTTTGCAATCCACATCTGCATTTCAAAAAACAACATAGAATTATAGTCAATGTAGTTTAATCGTTATATAACAAGTCACGATACGAAATAGTCCCCCATCGACTGTGTAGATGGAGTAATTGGTCTCCTTATATGGTTTCGAGCAATCCTCATCTCAAAAGCTAGCTCATGAGATGAGAATTGCCGAGTCCGTAAAAAGAGACCAATTACCTTATCTACGACCAATATGAAACTATTTTAATAACTATAAACACAAAATATGAATGACAATAAATGTAAATGTTAATGTAAAATTCTAATTTTTCACTCACCTGTTGGAAAGTACTTAAAGAAGCCAAAATAGAACCTCCAATCCAAACACTATACTTCCTCTCAGGTGGAGCTACCACCTTAATTTTCATACTGCTTGGAGCCAAGGCAGTAATTTCCTTACTCATCCTATCAGCAATTCCAGGAAACATAGTCGAACCGCCACTGAGTACAATATTTCCATACAGATCCTTTCTGATATCGACGTCGCACTTCATGATTGAGTTGTACGTCGTTTCGTGAATGCCTGCAGCTTCCATTCCAATCATTGAAGGTTGGAAAAGGACTTCAGGGCATCGGAAACGTTCAGCACCGATGGTAATCACTTGACCATCGGGCAACTCGTAGCTCTTCTCAACAGAAGAGCTAGTTTTCGACGTGTCCATTTCTTGCTCAAAGTCAAGCGCAATGTAGGAGAGTTTTTCCTTCACATCCCTCACGATTTCTCGTTCAGCAGAAGTAGTGAATGAGTAACCGCGCTCTGTTAAGATTTTCATTAGGTGATCGGTCAAGTCACGACCGGCTAAATCAAGACGAAGGATAGCATGTGGCAAAGCATATCCCTCGTAGATTGGAACAGTGTGGCTAACACCATCACCAGAATCCAGGACAATACCTGCATAACATTAAAACATTTGATGTTATATTGCAGAACTGTCCAAGCTCTAGATAATATCAAGGAAAAAATGAAACAGGAGCACAGAGGCGGATCCGGGATTTAACGTTTATGGGTTCCTACTATAACGTTGAACACTCTGGACGTGCCATTGAACAAAAGAAAGTGTTTACCTGTTGTACGACCACTAGCATAAAGGGATAGAACGGCTTGAATGGCGACATACATAGCAGGAGTATTAAATGTCTCAAAC